GGCGTCGCGCGCGCTGCGCCTTGATGGCTCGCCCCTCGAGGCCCGCTACGGCGTCGATCTTTCCCTGGTCGCCGCGGATGGCGCGTCGACCCGGGAGGCGTGCGCCGCTCGACGCCCTCGAGCAAGATGGCGAGGCAGCGGGGGGCCGTGGGGGCCTCGCGAAGGAGCTGGCGCAGGCTAGGCGCGCTGGGCTGTGGAGGCAGCGTCGAAACGCAGTTCAGAACTGGCGCCCCCCCGCTGGCCTTCCCCGGGTGCTGGCCCGCCGCGTAATGGGCGAGTTCCTCGAGGATGACCTCGCCCCGCTGGGCTGGCTTGGGATCCACCGTGAAGACTTTTGCGCGGGACTGGGGGCGAGAGGCGAGAGGGTCGCCGACTCCTAGGTCCAGGCGTTGCGCGCGGACTTTCTGAGGCCGGTCGACTCCGCAGGCTGCGCGGCTTGGGCAGCGGCGAGGCTTGCGAGCTGGATGTGCAGAGACCGCCCGACGAGAAGAGCAAGGTTGCGCGGCGGGGCGAGCCCTGAGCCGGCCCCGCGCTCACCGGGTCAGCGGCAGGGGGGGCGCGCAGCGTGTCCGCAGCAGGGGGGGGGGGGCGTCATTGCACCGCCAGAGACAGCGAGCTGCTCGGCCGCCAGCTCCGCCGCCCCGCCGGGCCAGGGCAACTGCGAGCGCAGCGTGCAGAGGGTGAGCTCGGAAGGGGGGCCCTCGGCCAGCTCGGCAGCTGCGGGGGCTGGCTTGCAGTTGGCGATGGCGCGCGAGGCGGAGGCCGCCCCTTCGGAACAGGCTTGCCAGGGGCCGCAGTTGCAGGGGCCGCAGTGCAAGGCCCCAGCAAACGACGACCTGAGGGCGAAAGTGAACTGCCTGCTCGGCGTGGCAAGGGCTGCCTCCTGGCACTTCCAGGTGGCCGCTCAACATGCCGTGGACCTCGATGGCCCCAGTGGTAGCGAGGGGGCGACGCGGCCCATGGTGGCGCCGACAAGGTTGACGGTGGGTCAGGGGATGCATGCGACGAGCCCTCGGCAGAAGCCCGCCCGCCCCCGCCAGTGCGGTCGACGCGAGTGGTGGCGGGGGGGGCGAAGAGGGCGTCGGCGCCCCAGCCGCAATGCAGCGGCCTGATGCGGGTGGGCCTCTTCCTCGTGGGGAGCGCGGGCTCTGCAGCCGACAGGGCGGCGATGTCTTCGAGGCCCCGTCGGGGGCGGCCTCGACGCGCTGGCGGGTTGGTGGCCATGGGCCTGTGCAACGAGTAAGGGGCGCGCTGGGGTTGGAGCGCGGGCTGCGGCGACTGCGCGTTCCGTGTGTTGCGTGGGCGGCAGCTCAGGGACTTGTGTGTCCCGTTCTCGGCTGTCGGAGCACGGCGCGAACGGCGGCGCCGCGCTGGAGATTCGCGCAATGGCGTTGCGCGGTAGTGGCGGCGACCGTGCCGCGTGCATCGGGGGGGCTCGGTGACTTGAGCGGGAGGAGCACGTGCGCGTGGTGTAGATCCTGAGGTTTAGTGCCTGCCGCGCGGCCTCGGGGGTGATCCTCGGCGGCCGATGCGCCCCCCCTGGCGGGTCTCGACCAGGGCTGGGCGCGGCGCGCGCGCAGGGCAGCCGCGGCCGGGCTCGCGGAGGATTTCAACCTTCGGCAGGGCCCGAGAAGGCGCGACCGCTCCAGGTCTCCCGCGTGGTCGCTGCGCACGGCGAGGAGGGGGTGCGCGACGTCGCTGGGGAGGAGCTCCCGCCGCCCCCGTATTAGGGCGCGTTCGACGACGGGCGCGCCGAGTGTGCGACTCCAGCCACGGCTGGCAGCGCAAGGGTTGCGGTCGCGCCCGGCTAGGGCCCGCCAGCGAGGACGTGCCGACGGCAGGTGGCCGGCGGCTTGATGAGGCTTGGCTGAGTGGCACCGGCTTCGGGGCAGTCCTAGACGCGCCAGACAGGTTCGCGGCCACGTGGCAGCGAGAACTTACGTCGGCCGACGCCAGCGCCCGGAAGTGGCATGTCTGGATCGAGGCCTACCTCCTGCAAGTGTTGGACCTGCTTTCCCACGGCGCCTGCAGGAGGGGGGCCCTGCGGCAAGGGCCCGACCTGGCGGCCGCGGTGCGAGGCGTCGCAGCGCGCGCGCGCCTGGTTCGCTGCGGCGGATAGGCGCAAGGCCTCGGTGGACTACCTGCTGAGCCTGGGTACCGAGAACTGGCAGAGCGTGGCGGCCGTCCTTTGGGCAGCGCTGGACGAGGCATACTTCGCCGTCCATGGAACCCACGCCACGAAGGCGCAGCCCTTAAGGAGAATCGGCAGCCCGTCGCCCACTTCGGCGCAGCAGGAACCGAGCTCGAGCTACCCATGCCCGAAAGGATGGCGCCATGGCTGGCCGCGCGGGCTTGGCAGCTGCCGTGGCCGTCCGAGCTGTCCGATGGCTCTGGGGGCGACCTGTCGCCGCACCCCGAAGCGGCGCCCTTGCAGCCAACGCATGGGGGGGCGCCACCTGGGGGCGCAGGAGCGGCGAGACTACCGCCCACCGGTGATGAGCCCTCAGATGCCGGGGTGCCGCCCAGCCCTGCGGACGGCGCGGCTCCGCTCGAGTTGGAAGCGGGGCGGGCAGCCGCCTGTTGGCAGGAGGGGCCAGCTAAGGGCTGGGCGGCTGAGGGCCAGGCGCTCGAGGCCAAGGGCGTCGTCAGCAGCTCCCCCTGGCTGGCTGGCTGGCCAGCAGCACGGAAGGGCCGGAGCCAACAAGAGGGACGACAGGGACACGGTCTCTGCGAGAGACGCGGCTCTGTCGATCCCGGTGGACAGCCCGTCCCCTGTCGACTCCCAGCATGGTCAAGCCGGCGCAAAAAGCGGACAATCGGATGCAGCTCTTTTGTTGACGATGTGGGCAAGACGGGCCCTGCCACAGCGGCGGGTTTGCACGCGGCGACTCTGGTGGCAGCGGCTGCGCCTGCTGCCGCGCTGGACGGTGGCGCACAGACATGGGCGGCGTTGGGGGTCAGCCAGGTCGGACGACTGGCGCGGGCGTTCCCGAAGCCCGCCAGCCATTGGCCAACCGCGGCGACGCAGGTTGTTGCGCGTAGGGAAGAGCCGCCACGTTGCAGGAGGCGGCCCCGCAGGGAGCCGAGGGTGCAAGGGTGCTCCCCCTTGCTGGCCGTGGCGGTCCCTGCTTCCGCTTGCCGCGTGACGGGCTGTGGCGGGGTCCCTGGCGGCCCCAGCGGGCTGCGGCGAGGGATGTCGCGGCCGCCGAGGGCTGAGCGGGCCGCGCGGGGCGCGGGAGGCGCCCGCACGCGGCCGAGACAGGGACTGCCGCCCGTCGGCCCCCTCGGTGGCAGTCGGACGGCGCACGCATGTGCGCATATGTATGTATGTATATGTATGTATGCATGCATGTATGTATGCATGTATGTTTGTATGTATGTATGTATGCATGTATATATGTATGTATGCATGTATGTATGTGTGTATGTATGTATGTTTGTATGTATGTATGCATGCATGCATGCATGCATGCATGTATGTATGTATGTATGTATGTATGTGTGTATGTATGTATGCCTGTATATATGTATGTATGTATGTAGGTCGGTAGGTAGGTAGGTAGGCAGGTACGTATTGATGCATGCATGCATACATGCACGCATGCACGTATGTATGTATGTATGCATGCATGTATATATATATATATGCATGCATGCATGCATGTATGTATGTATGTATGTATGTGTGTATATGTATGATTGTATGTATATATGTATGTATGTATGTGTGTATGTATGTATGTATGTATGTATGTATGTATGTATGTATATATGTATGTATGTATGTATGTAGGTGTGTATGCATGTATGTATGTACGTACGTACGCACTCACGCACGTATGTATGTATGTATGTATGCATGTATGTATGTATGTATGTATGTTTGTATGCAGGTGTGTATGTATGTATATATGTTAGTATGTATGTATGTATGTATGCATGGATGCTTGTGTGTGCGCATGCACGTATGTATGTATGCATGTATGCATGTATGCATATATTCATGTATGCATGTATGTATGCATGTATGCATGTATGCATGTATGCATGTATGCATGTATGCATGTATTGCATGTATGCATGTATGCATGTATGCATGCATGCATGCATGCATGCATGTATGTATGTATGTATGTATGTATGTATGTATGTATATGTGTGTATGCGTGCGTGTATGCATGTATGTATATGTGTGGATGCTTGCACGTATGCACATCTGTTTGTACATGCATATACACACATACGCATATAGGTATGAATTTGTGTACGTAGTCATCACTGTATGTAGGTGTGTATGTATGTTGGGGTGCATGTATATAGGTATGTATGTATGCATGCATGCATGTATGTATGTATGTATGTATGTATGCATGTATGTATGTATGTATGTATGTATGTGTGTATGTATGTATGCATGCATGCATGCATGCATGTATGCATGCATGCATGCATGCATGTATGTAGGTGTGGATATGTGTGTGTGCATGTATGGGTGTATGCATGCATGTATGTATGCAGGCACGTATGTGTGTATGTAGGTATACATGCGTACATGCATGTATGCATGTTTGCATACATGTATGCACGAATGTATGAATGTACATGTATAGATATGCATGCATGCATGCATGCATGCATGCAAGTACGCATGTATGCATGTATGTATGTGTGCATGCCGGTATGCATAGAAGTCTAGATGCATAGTCATGCATGTATGTATGTATGTACGTATGTACGTATGTACATATGTACTTATGCACGTGCGCCTTTATGTATGTATGTATGTATGTTTGTTTGTATAGATGCGTATCGAGAGAGAGGGATAGAGAGAGATAGAGATGGATAGAGAGAGAGAGAGAGAGATACAGGAGAGAGATAGATGGAGAGAGAGGGGGAGGGAGAAGGAGAGAGAGAGAGAGAGAGTGCCAGAGAGAGAGAGAGAGAGAGTAGTGAACGACTTCTCCTTCTCCTCCTCCCCATCCCCCTCCTCCTGCTCCTCCTCTTCCTCCACCTCCTCCTCTTCGCCTCTTCCCCCTTCTCTTCGCCTCTTCCCCTTTATCTCCGACATCTCCTTTCCCCCCCTTGCGAAGGCACTGCTCATGGAGGTCCAGACGATACGTGACGCCATAGCAGACCTCCGGCTCGCTCTGTTCCGGGCGCAGAGCGAGCCCGCGACTCCGGAGTCGAAAGCTCGGGAGCCTCTGGAGCTGGATCCGGTCTGATCACTTCCTTTTGGACCTCGCCCCTCCTAGGGCTGCGGCGCGGACTCGGGTCACAGTAAGACGGGCGGTGCGGTTTGGGCGGCCACACCTCTGGGCCGCAGCATGCCGACTAGTTGATGTGGGCCACATGTTGTGGCCTGCTCTTTCAATTTCATTTGGAACCCTGGAGAGGGCGGCACATGGCGGCGTAGATGGCGGAGTATGATTGTGGGGGGGTGGAGGGCGATCGTAATATTACGAAGGCTTGGCGGCCGGTGATGCCGACCCTGAGGGAGGAGAAGGACGACGACGACGGCGACGACGGATAACATTCAGATGCTTGGGCAAATTCATGGAGTTTCCCCTTTTGGGTTGTCATGGGAGTGCTCTTGGGGCTGACTTGGGCCTCCTGGGGGCTTCTTGGGCGCCTCTTGTAGCCTCCCTCCTGGGGGCCTCTTGGGGCGGAGTTTCGAAGTCTTGGTTGGTGCTCCCCCTCTCTCGGGAGCCTCTAGGGGAATATGGACAAGCTGTATGCACATCTTAGATGTTCGCCTCTTCGGGCCCTCTTGGGGCTTTTCTTGGAGCCCTCTTGTGGCGTCTTGGGGGTTGTTGGAGGGCCCCCAATGACGTGTTAGTATTTAGAACGTGTGAAGTTTCAGGGCCAGGAGTCTTGAGACCCCACCCCCAGAGGTGGGGTGCTGCGACCTCAAACGCAACTGTACGTGAGACAGTGCTGCGGGGTCCTCGCGGTTTGGAGGCCCACGGAGGGGCCAGCGGATGACAAAATGTGTGATTCAAGCTCACTCCCGAGGGTCAGCAAAAGGGGCCAAGGGGACCCTGTCAGACAAATAGAGGCCCCGCAAAGGCCGAGATCCCCGGTCTTGCTCTGCTCTTGCTTTTGCTGCTCTCACCTTTCCTTCCGCTGTTTTCTCAGTTCAAATTTTATTCTGCAGGTCCCTCGGCCTAAGAGTTGCGCCTCGACTCGCTGCGTGAGAGAGTAAAGGATGTCTTGGCGCCGCGCGCCCATCCATATCACAGTGGTAGCTTGGATCGAGGCTCGCTGCCCCAGCGCTCGGGCCGCACATCTTCCACGACGACGTCTGCGACGCGTCCGCCCACGGAATCGACGGCCAGCGTCGTCCGCCTGCTCAGCTGCGCAATGGTCTACATCTTCAGCGTCTGCGGCGCCGAGCCCAACGCGACTGTCAGCGACACCACCACCTGCCAGCTCTACGCACCGGCAAACACCGACAGCGATTTCATCCCCCACCTCATTTTCGTGAGTACCGTCAGCGACGCCAAGGACATGAGTGTCACCGACACCACCAGCTACCAGTTCTTCTACACGGCAAGCGCCGACAGCGATTCCATCCCCTTCGTCATCTTCGTGAACAGCGTCAGTAACGCTAAGTGCCACGCGAGTGTCAGCGACACCACCTACCAGGTCTCCGACCCGGCAAGCGCCGGCATCTCTTTCGACAGGCTCAGTATTGAATAGGGTAATTTTCATGTCATTGCGGGTATCAGCGACTCTCTTATTTTGCATTTCATTGCAAAGATGACGGATCACACTTGCAATCAGTCAGTCATGCCAACTTGAAATGTAGATCCAGAGAAGTGGCGAGATTTCGGTCCTCAAGCTCACAGGTGCGGTGCGTTCGGCCGCGCTCGACATGTCTGAAGAAAATCTACATCCGCCGGCCGCGGAAGATATCGAGGAGGCTGCCGGCAGGAAGTGATACCGGAACCAACAAAGAAGCGAAAACGTGTTCAAGCATCTCGAGGCAAACCTCGGGCAACACTAGTCAGTGCAGAAGGGGGGGCGCTCGAGAAGTTCTTCGAGTCGACGCAGCATCGCCGCAGAAGGGGGGGCGCATGACAGATTGGCTCGTGCGATTCGAGGCTGGTCTTCAACGGTTTCGCTTCAAAGGCCGCGGGAAGGGCGCGCCCGAGCGCCGACCCGCCGGCGGGGGCCTCGAAGACCGCGTGGGCCAGCGCGAGAAGGCCGCGCAGCGCTGGGGCCGCGGCGAGATGGGGCGCTGGACGGGCGACAAGGAGTGCCCGGCGCCGGGCGCCCGCAGGCGCGCCCCCTAGGATTAGCAGAAGGATGGGCGGAGGGCGAGGAGTCGGAGGCCGCTCGCGCCGCCAGGCCATCATCGCCAACCGCGTGGAGTTCGGCGACGAGGAGGTGATATTTCCCCCAGAATGCCCGGTCGTTCCGCCGCCCGAGACGCTGGTCTCCGAGCGCGCGGTGCCCGACTTGCCCACCGTGAACGCCGCCGATGCGGGCGAGGCGCCCACCGGCGACTGGGTCGGAGTGATTGACGCTGCCTGCCAGCGCACTGTGGCGGGCTCGGGTGGCGCCAGAAGTGCGCGGACGGGCCCGCGAAGATGTGGCTCGACGACTAGGTCCTGGAGGGGCCCGAGGGCGAAGTCCACGGGTTCGATGGCGGCGGTGCGTTCCCGAGCAAGCTGCGCGTCGCCGCCCCGCTCGCGCTTGGTGGTCGCGCTGGCCGCGCCGCGTTCAGCGTCGTGGACAGCTCCGCGCTCGGCCTGCTGATCGGCCGGGGTTTCGCCTGGCCGTCCAAGATCGATATCTCGCATTGGGGGGGGCAGGTGCACATCGGGAACCACTCCCAGAAGCTCATCGCCAGCAGCGCGCGGCATCCCGCGATTTCTTCCCGCCCGGGGGAGCGGCTCGCCATCGAGGATGCGGGCCGCGTGTTCGGCCCGAAGATCGCCGATCCCAAGGCCGCCAGCCGCGAGATGACGGCCGCGCTGCCGACGGCCACTGCGACGACCGAGGCGGACTCCCCGGTCAAGTCCATCATGGAGCTCGCCTCGCAGAAGGGGTCGAGCGTGACGAGGCGATTTCAGCCGCGTCGAGTCGCGGGGTCACGGCCCATGGCCGCCGCGGCGTCTGCTCTGGCCCGCTGATCTACGGCAGCGCCGCCGCCTCCGTCTACGGGCCCATGGGGCTGGCGACCGCGTGCGTCGTCGACCCCGTCGACGACTGCGTGGCCTGCGGCATTAAGCCCCGCGATACTCGCATGGCCAAGTCAGCTACAAGTCCGAGCCCGGACTCGAACTGCAGCGCGACCGCCCTCTACGAGTGGCGCTGCAATCCCGGCGGCAGGCTCGGCGCCGAGTTGCCGTTCGCCGTGGACTTCCAGGTTGCGATCTTTCTCGAAGGTTCGCAGTGCGCAAGCTAGAGGGCAAGGTCAGGAAGGGCTTGCAAAGGGGGGGGGGGGGGGGGGCGTTCGAGCGCGCGCCGCCTTTCCGCGTGCACCGCGGACTGCATTGCAGCGCCTCGTCCTCGAGATCGATCCCAGCATGGCTGCGCGGCTACAAGCCGACTGGAAACAACCACTCCGCGAAGATGATCGACCTATTCCTGAAGTCAATGAGCCGCCTGCGCATGGAATTCGGCAACCAGCTCGCGGTCTCGCGCGAGCGGCCTCGCCATTGCGATGGCTGGGGCCAGGCGAAGAACTGCGCCGCGGACGCGCTGGAGAGGCAGCTCCCGCTCGCCAACGACTTCGACAGCTGCGCCTAGAACCTTGCGGCCGAGAAGGAGGGCCCCATCGAGAAGCCGTGGAGGGCCATCGCCGACCACTACGGGGTCGACGACTCGCTGCGCAAGTGCTGCGACGGCCTGCGCATGCACGTCGAGGCCCGTGGCTGACTCGCCAAGGGCAGCGAGAACTACGTCAACGAGCTCGTCGCGGCGCTGGGCAAGCAGCTTCGCAACCCGAACAAGTCGACGCACCGCGAAGCGAACCCTGCCGGACCAGCAAGGAGGAGAGCCGCTGGAAGGACAGCGCCGGCTCCAGCGGCCCCAGCCAAGCCATCGCTGACGGCAGCGGAGGAGCGGGCCTTTTCAGTCCGCCATCATGCAGCTCCACGCCAATACGGGACACACTGCCAACGACGCGCTGAGAGTGGCGGGTGGGTCTCAGAGTGCGGTTGAGATGGCGCTCGACCTATTTTGCGGCTTGTGCGCCACCCATCAGCGACCTACCGCGCCTACCTGGGGGGGTCAAGCTCCACGGGGGTTTCAACGACTACATCGGGGTGGATTTGTTGTTCTTGCCGACTACGCCGGCAAAAGGCTTGTTTTCCTACGCGTGGTCGACCTCGCCTCTGGATTTACGCGATGTGGCGCAGTTGCCTCAAGGCGCCCGTCGGTTGTGTGTTGCAAGATTTCTTTCTGCCGATATGGATTGCGCCATTTGGGCCACCGCTACGCGTGATATTCGACGGGGGGGGGGGGGGAGTTCGAGAGGGGGGGTGTTCTCGGAGGGGCTCGAGGACATGGGCTGCCGCCTTATGACGACTGCCGCGGCTGCGCCGCAGCGGAACGCCACCGTGGAGAGGCGCGGGGCGCGTGGAAGGTTCGCGCGAGGAAGCTGATCGACCAGTTCAGCATCAGGCTCGACCTGCCCGAGAACGCCCACAATATCCAGTGGCTACTTGCCGCTGTCAGCTGGGCCATGAACAGCTCTGTCAACGCCGCTGGCTATTCGCCAGCGCAGCGGGTACTCGGACGTGGACTTCAGTTGCCGTGCTGCTGATTGGGCAACGCTGGGGGGCTCTCGCTGCGCGAGAGGGCCATTTCTGACGAGCCCATCTCCGAGAGGGTTGCCATCGTGAAGGCCGCCCAGACGTCCGCCCAACACTCGCGCTTCAACCGTTCCCAATCCCGGTCGCTACTCGCCCGACCGCGCGCAGGCGGAGCTTGGCATGCGCGAGATGTCTACCAGACGGTAGGTCAGGTGCACTACTGGAGGGGGAACGGCAAGCCCGAACGCGAGTGGGCATTGCAGTGGCACGTGCCCGGCGTCATCATTGGGTTCGAGGGCGCTTCGAACGCATGGGCCAGCCACCGTTCCGCCGCGGTCAAGGTCAACCGCGGACACCTACGACGCGCTAGTGCATCCGAGCTCGCGCCATGGGGACAGGCGCTCAACGCCGTGAACGGGGCCCCGCCACCGCCGCCTGGACAGCCTCCAGCTGGAGAACAGCCACCTCCAGAGGGACCACGGCCACCAGACCCTGGAAGAGATGGTGGCTCACCACCAGGCGAAGGAGGAGGCGGGGGCGGAGGAAGCAGAGGATTTCCACTGTGTCAGTCCCTGGAGGAGACGACCACATGTTCATGGACTTCACCGGTGCGACGCCATGTCCGAGGACTACGGACGTGCGGCCAGCGCAACCAGCAGCGCAACCGCCGACGGCTATTGCGCAGCGCAGCTTTTGGAACGTCGA